GGATTTGGTAGGTACAAAGTGCCGGTTGTACTAGCCAGGATGGCGTGATTGATGACGAATCGCTTGTAAAAATGAGGACAAACATTTGCTCGAGTTACGCTTCTGGTATAATTTCCTATTCTGTGCCCCTGTTCTATGCAAAAACCGCTGATTAATTTAAAATTCAAAATTTAAAATTCAAAATGGCCGACTTTTGCAACAAACAAAAAATAACAATGTTTTGGTTTCGGTTGACGGATCAAAAGCTGTAATTCATTTTATTTTGAGCCGATGATCCTAAATTGGACAACTACACGAATGCAGATATCTTTTCTATGTACACATCAAGTTATTTCTATCGTGGCGTGAAGAAAAACAGTTTTTTCGATGACTTACCTTATAGCTTGCTCGGTTCTGAGGCTATGCCCTTGCAGCAAGCTAGCGGCGATATAAAGTTGGGTAGCGACAATTATGCGTGGTCTGCAGGGAATTTTTGTTTTCGTCCCAAGAAAGGTGACAAGAACAAGCTAGGACAAGCCGGAATTATGGCACAACTCATATACTACGGTAAATGCAAAAATTTTCAATGCATATAAAAATTTTCAATGCAATATTGCGTGTATTGCAGACATTAAAATGCAGCTGTAGACGCAGTTCCGGTAATTATAGGCAGATTAGTAACGCTTTATGTGTTCTTAACTAGCGTTCTAGGATGAGATCTTTGTTTCGCTTACAATTTACTGTCAGTCAATTTTCAATATAACAATGGATATGCACCATTGCACCCCCTTGGGATATGCCCCAACAAATTTGCGTGCATTGAGATTAAATAAAATTTATTTTAAAAGAGGAGGACGTTCTATACAGTGCTTACTCATGTGGTGACAAATGATTTCTCCCTTGTGGTTTTACAGTTTATATCACAATAAAGGAATCCTTTTGGTTGCTTTGAAGAATGTTTGATAATATCTTACTGAGAATAGGTAAACAAGGCCTGATCCTATGAAGTGGTACTGGATATGAATTTGACTTAGGGCTCATGTCCACATTCAAATTGCCATGCAAAATGACAAATTGACATTTGGTTAACTAGACCCATGGGCTCCAGCACTCTGCCCTTGACAAGGAAAATGGTCTGGCATTAGACAGAGTAAAATAGAAGAGTACCAGGGAAAGGAAAATGGTCTGGCATTAGACAGAGTAAAATAGAAGAGTACCGGTGTCCCAGGATTTTCGCCCCCCCTACACTTTCACCCCCCGGGGGCAAAATTCCTAGGAATATTGCCCCCCCCCCAGGGGGGCGAAAATCCTAGGAATTTCGCCCCCCTTTAGGAAATTCGCCCCCCTTTACAAACTTCACCTTTTCTTTAGGATTTTCGTCCTCCGTTCAATATTTCGCCCTTCCTAACAGTTGCATGGGATAATTATTACATAGATCGGAAGAGCGAGATCGGAAGAGCAC